CGGTGTATTTTTCTGCATGTTTCTGTCGTCCTGTATATCTTGTAAATTAAAATGAGCGAAAATAAAATTTTCCCTTTTTTTTTTCTCAAAAGCGCTTTCTGTTTATATGGAGGGAAACTAATTACTTACAGTCCAACTCGTTTCCAGAGGAGTTATAAATGTCTTTAAAGTTTAAGATGTGTTGCAGGAACAAAGCAAAATAACATACCTGCTGCGGGGAAGAGTGAAATCTCTGAATTCAGTTTATATATTGTGTGAATATATGTGATATTTTGGGCATCGGGGCGAACAAATGCAGAACCTGCTGTACTAAAGCATTAAAAGAAGCAGCAGAGCCTCCATACTAACTGCTGCCAAACAATGAAGAAATAAAATAGGGAGATTTTACGGTAGATATCGGATCGAAAAAAAAAAAGATCTGGTTATTATTTTCTCTTTTAATAGCTACGCTGCATAACTTACTGTCTAACTATCTCTTAACGGGGAGGCCCCATTCAGTTCTAAGAGGAAAGAAGGAAAAAAATTGTAATTATATCTGATATTCTGGAATTCAAACATGTTTTAGACGATCAGCGGACTCTGAAGCATTAACTGTCACCAGTTGATCTAGACCAGCTGTTCAACAGGCAGAGCAGACACAACCAACAGGTTCATTATCGAAGGTGGGGTCAGATGGAGTGTTTGAATCAATAGCTCGGCAGGTAAAGAGACGCCTTGCAAATAAAAACAAGTATGGCCGCGGGTTCGTCTTCACAGATCTCTTTATGCCCTCGTTTTATTTCAACATATTTTCCACAGATGGGCAATATGATATTATTTCCTACCTCTGAAATGACAAACATTTCCTCGCAATCAGCGTTTTGTGCTGAGTTGCTTTTTTGTCATTCTAATTGTACCAGTGAAGCAAACAATTTAAACTAATAGTAAAAGTAGACAAAACAATACTCTATTGCCAGTAACTTGAAAAACGTGAATGATTTAAAGTTGTTCTGCATGCAAACCAAATAATGTGGCTTCCTCAAAACAATAGAAGGGAATAAGATAACAGCTGACTGTGTAAACATGGTCACACAACATGACGGGTTCATAATGATTAAAAATAATCAACAATAACAGTTAAACATCAATAACAGTAAAAAATCAACAATAACAGATAAAATTTTAAAGTACCCTCAATTAGGTACCCTCAAGTAAAGTAAAGTACCCTCAATTAGGGTTGTAGGCTGCTACAACCCTAATTGAGGATAAGATTATAACATCCAAACAAAATCCCAGGAGATGGAGTGTTTTACAGCCCATATTCCTCCAGATCCCGCTGGATCACAAGTTAATCTGTGACACTGCAGATTCTGACGCTTCAGATCCTCACGATGCGTTTATTTGATCCCCAAACTTCAATTTCTCATAATATTTCACATTATCCACACACTACAGACGTGTGTTGGATAGATATTAGGCCAGGATAAATTATAACCTTTATACTGACCCGTTTGTTTACATTGGCGGCATTTTGATCGGGCAACCACGCAGCCAACTAATCTCTTCAAACAGCTGTGCTGTGGACCCCGTTTGTCACAAATTAATCTAGTTCTTCGTTTAAGAATATCTGCATTTTTCTACTAGACAAAACATCAAGGAGTCATGGCGACTCATACCCACACCGTAGCGGTAGCTGCTAAATCTGGGATTTAAATTTTGTTTAAATTTTTCTTTCCTCAAACCACAATTAGTGTTACCTGATACAGTTCATCATACAGGACAGAGTTTTGGGATCCACTAAAAAAAAACAACAACACCGTAGTAGAGACTTGTATTTGTGTCCAAATAGGAGAATAAAGGAAACATGAGAGCATGGAATCTAATAACAAGAAAATAACTTTTTGTCAATATTCAAAAAATAAAGTGGGAATAGTTGGAAGGATGAGAAGCCCAATTGTTCTGCTTGCAGTCAGTTTTTCTTAAATAGGTGCTGCTTACACATGTGCGTTCTGAATGACAGGCCTCTTTAATGGATTCATATTTACATTCAGGAATGTATAAAGTGGGCGGACTTTATCGTCCAAGCTACAGGTTTTCATTTAGAGCTTATCGTTCAGCAGGAGAAATGACACTCCAGTGTGAGACAGACTTTTGTTTGTATTTTTTCTTTACACTTGTGAACGACTCTGTTCACTGTGTGGGATTCTTTCCACTATCTGCCTTTCTGTGGATACAAGTTCTTTACCACATCGTTCTAATCTGAAGAAATAAAACAAAACAGAAATTCATTCATTAAATATGTCGGTTGATTTTTTGGAATATTTTTTTCGCCAGGCATCAACACAGCTACCTAAGCTTCAGTAACATCTGCGGTGCGCATAGATTCTAACCAATTAATCTCGTCACCAGTTGATCTGTCACACCGCCAGAGGTGTCAAGTAACGAAGTACAAATACTTCGTTACTGTACTTAAGTACACTTTTTAGGTATCTATACTTTACTCCATTACTTACTTTTTCCTCCTACTTTTGACTTCTACTCATTACATTTTCACACAAGTATCTGTACTTTCTATTCCTTACATTTTTAAAACAAA